CATCCACACCTTCAAAATGACAATATTTTTTGTCCCGATTCTATCACAACATTGAAAAAATGTTTTGGAATTTTTCTGAATGCATGATTATCCTATAAATTATCTATAATAGGTTCATGAAGCGATGAATCTGCATTTGTTTTCAGGATGAATGATGCCAGAGGGTTTAAAATCGAAAAAAATATTCAAATCAATCAATACAGCATGCCATAATGATATTGCTAACAAATCGTTCACAATCAACCAATCAACAACACAAACAATCGGATAATATTTCATTACAAGTAATCTATTTCCATTTTATTTTAATTCCTCGGGTAAAATTAATGACAATTCATCAATAATAATCATACCGTTCATCTGAACAGGAATGAATTTGATTCCAGTTATAGAATTGAAATGCTTGTTTAGTTCAAATTATGAACCTTATTTGGGTTTATTCATTTTTTATAGAATTGACAAAATCTTTCTTTTTTGGGAGGTTTAATGAAAGTTACTTCTTTTTTTTTCTTTTTTTTTTTTGGAGGGTAGGGAAAGAAAAATAGGATTCCTACCACGGAAAATTTTTGCAAAACCACCCAACCTGTTTTTTTCATTTTTGAAAGTAAATTTCTGAGCAAAACCCTCCCTCCCCGTTTGATAGTATTCAGCGATTAAACAGTGTAGCAGCGAGTAGTTTCGATCCACTGACCTCTGGGTTATGGGCCCAGCACGCTTCCACTGCGCCACGCTGCTCCAATGTCAAATATTTAGTTAATTGTTGCTTTTAAATTTATGATGTTGTTTACGGAGCAAACTTTTTCTTTAATACCTTTAATTAATGATTGTCACCTTACCTATCACTTTTCTCTATCATTTTGTGATTTTGTTTCTCTTTTTTAAAAGAAAATTGATTTGCTAATTTAATGTTAAAATATTAGGAAATGGCGCGGAAATTGTTGTCACAAATTAATATTTTAACTTTTTAAAATTATGGTAAATAGAGAGGTAAAACTGAAGTGGAAAAAGGCAAGAATAGAAAACTTTATATTCTGTAAAATTTGCATAAATTAATAATTTGTATTCGGGAAATTTTGTATATTTTAAGAAATTATATGTCAGAAAATTCTACAATTTAAGAATTTGTATTCCGAAAACTTCCATAATTTAGGAACTGGCATTGAGGAAAATTTGCATAATTACAATGTATCAACAATATGATTTGCATAAAAGGAAAAACTTTATCCAAAAATATTTGAGATGAAAATTAAAGAGAACAAAAAAAAAAACTTATAATTGAAAAGAAACATATAATTTTATAAATAGCTAACTTTCTTTCCGGATATTTTTAGAACATTGACATTCTTACCGTACATTCAAATAGCACCATTCTCTATCGTCAACGTTACCTCCGGAAAGCAGCAGATTACAAGTACACGTCACGTGAACAGTCTATACTATTTGCAGCTATTGCAGTTGGTGCATTACTTGCCATTCTTCCAGTAACTTTCAGCATTCAGCATTACGGAACAAGGTAATAAAATTCCGGAATTTTTACCGGATGACGATATATCGATTTTTAGATAAATATAAACTTCTTGAAGATTTAATTTATTATTCGTTAGTTTATAATAAATATAACAGTAAGGAAAAGTTTCAATTTTTCATCCCTCCATACTACAAATTTAATCATTTCAATTTCATTTTTGAGAAAAAAAAATCAATTCAGGAAAACATTCGCAATTGTTATGATAATTTCCGGAATATCGACGGCATTATGTCCTTTAGCTGCTTCCTTTGGTATTATCTTCTTAACTATCATTCGAATTTTACAAGGTTTTATTTTTTTTTTTTGTTTTTTGAATGCACCGAAACTATACCAATTTTATTAGTTTTTTGAAATTTTACTGGGAATAGTAAATTTCATAGTAATCATTTAGTATTGTGGAAGCTAATTCTCGACGGTAACAAAGTATTGGTTGGAATAGAGTTGTCCACTTGGATTCGTCGGTAGATCCTAATCTAGTGTGTGATAACTTGGTTTGATATTGATTGGAGAACATTGATGAAGGTATCTGTATGCCGGGAAGATTACAAACAGAATTGATTTCATCCCTTTTATAGTTACATTGGACAAGAGGGGATTTCCACTTTTAGAGTTATTTAAAAGATTGTACATTAATAAATACATAAAAAAAAAGAATTATATAATGATAGATTAGGAACATGAGGTTAAATCGTTACAATAGGCATTTTCTCTATCACCGTAACCATATCGATTTAGACAGTATGATGACAAGGAATGAATGATGGGACTTTAACCATTACTGTAACATAGTGATCTGAGCCTTAAGATCACATAATCAATACATTATTAAAACAACTATATTGGATTATTGAATTAGAATATTGGAAGAAAAATTTGTTTCAATTTTTTCCAACACATAAAAGGTATTGGATTTGGATCATGTATGCCATTTATTGGTTCAGTAATATCAACATGGGCAAAACATTCTGAAAATGGATTATTTACTGGAGCATTAACAAGTTTCATTCAGGTTTTCTTCTTCTCTAATTATTGTGATTTCTTTTTCCTAAAAAAAAAATCGTTGCACTTCTTTTTTTTTTTTAATTATTATTGGCATAATTGGTAAGAAACTTATATATCTAACAATTGGGCTAATAAAAGAGAGGATAATTAAAAGCTGACAGATTTGACTAATTAATTAATCAAATTGTAAAAAGTGACAAAGGAATAATCTGAAAGAATAATGTATGTTGTTATCGAGTACAATAATGTTATTATAAAAGGAAATTAAGCAGAATGTTTTTATTATGCAAATAAATTATATAGCATTGTATAAGTTTGTTAGAAGAAATGTAATGAAGAATTAGTAATTAAAAAATTAATTAAATTAAATGATAATTTTCTGATTGTTTCTAGCGAAAATGATTATTAAATTCAAATGTTTATTAAGCTGAAAATCAAATAATGAAATTTTTCACCATATTCTAATTGTTATGTTAAAAGTTTGAATGAAAAACAAATATAACCAATCAATAATCGAATCACTGTCCAACTAATCAATAATATCAATCAATTGGATCGATCAAATCAGTCAGTTCCTTCCAAATTCCCGTTTAATGGATATAAAAAGTAGACAAAAGTGGTGGGTCTGGAGGTATTGACAAGGCTAACTGATGCCGACAGCTCGCAAGCGCTATCCGACCACTGTCATGACGCGGGGACTTTTGCCTGCTGCCTTTTGGCCCTGAGCCGTACGCCCCTCATTATACAACCAGGTATCAATGACACTCCTATCCTGATACCTTGTCGACGCCACGCTTGGTCTGGACGCTCGGTCGCCACCGCCAAGCATCAATTAGGACTCCTCCTCTCACTCCATCCGCCACCACACGCCTCCCAGTCACTTGGATTACAAGCGCTCGCCACAACGCCCGGCGAACTGACAAAATTTATTTCCTCTTACATATTCCCATCTCACAAACACACACATACATATACATTCAATGCCATCCTTTGAATTTCATTTGTAAATATTTCTATCAATACTTATTCCTTACAGCTTGGCCCAGTAATAAGAATGCCAATGTCTGGATTTTTATGTTCAACAGGCCTAGGATGGCCATCAGTTTTCTACCAATATTCATTCCTTACAGCTTGGCCCAGTAATAACAATGCCAATGTCTGGATTTTTATGTTCAACAAGCCTAGGATGGCCATCAGTTTTTCATGTTCATGCAATAATAACGCTGATTTTTCTTGTGATATGGTGGATTTTATACAGGTATTTGATGAAGAATGCAAACAATGGAAGCACTCATTTTTCACATTTATCTATCATTCATTTCCAATATTTTATTAATTTAATTAATATTTCAAATATTTTTATATATTTTTCTAAGATTAACAAAGAATATTTTAAGAATTTTACATTTTGTCCATAATTTTTGTTCCTTTTTGTTTTGGTGACATTTTAATTGCTACATTTATGCACACTGATATCATTACAAAGATTTAATTGAAGAGATCAACCATGTGATGTTCGTTGGATTTCCGCTTATGAGTTAAATTTGATAAATGATGGAAGAACTGATAATAAAGTAAAACGATGCGATGAAAAGGTTTGTTAATTTAACAGTGAAAATTTTTAAATTTACATTTTAAACATAAATCTTATATGTTTGAAATATAAAATGTCAAGCAAATAAAACTTTGGATAATACCATGATTGGATTAAAATTTAATCCAATTTAAAGAATAACTGATACGAATTTAATAAAAATCGTTTTTCTAAGCTACCAATTCGAGAAATTTTTCAAACATCATCAGTTTGGGCTATTTGGATTGCAGCTATCGGTAATATGTACAGTATTCAAATGGTTGTTATTTTTGCGCCAACTTATATCAGTCAAGTTAGATTACATTTCAATTCTGGCAGTGAGGATGATGATAATAGTGAAACGAACACTAATTAAATGAAATTATTTCTAAATCGATTTCTAAAGGATGAAGGAAAAACTAGGATTTCAATTCCTTTTTTTTAAAAAAAATTTAAATTCAAATCTATGACTTTGAGATTCTCTTCAAATCTATAACTTTGAGGTTCTCGGTTTACCAATTGTAAGCGTTGGTTTAACTGCAGCATTGCCGACATTGTTGCAGTTTGCAGTTAAATTGTTAGCTGGTACTGCAAGTGATAAAATTACAATATTTAGTGAAACTATTAAGGTTAATTTCCATTTTAATTGTTTTTCAATTTAATTTCCAATTTAATTTCAACTTCCTCAAGTAATTTAATTATTATTGTTATTACTTGTAGAATGAGGTCAAAACTTTCGATTAAGTTTCGTCAATTGAAATTGAATGACTTCTTTTTTGACTTAAAAATATTTTACAAATAATGTTTGAATTAAAAGATTTCAGCGTCATACATATTTCAGTAATAATTTCAAAGCAATTAAAAGTTTAAAATTCTGTTTGTTACAAAATTACATCAAATTTTTGAGAAAAGCTATGAACTAGGAGTGGTTACTTTTGAACTTTTGAATCAGACTAACCGATATATCAGGATTTCATTTCAGGTTTGCATATTTAATACCGTAGCATTCCTCGGTATGGGTATTTTTCTTATTGCTCTAGCATATACACCAGCAAATCAAACAACTATAGCACTCATTTTCTTAATTAGTTCAACAACAATTCTCGGCTTCAATACGGGTGGTTTCTTTAAAAGTTGCACATTGGTTGGTCGACAGTACAGCTATTTTGTTAATTCTATCGTACAGGTAATTATCTCTTATTTCAAAGTACTCTAATATGCTAGTCTTTTATACTTGACATATTACTATTATAGCATAGGATGACAGAGATGACATAGGTGATAACCTCATTACTCATAAGTGTTATTTAAAATTTGCTCTTTTTTTGTTGGATGGGAAAGAAGTGATAACGGAGATAGTGATTATTAGCAAAAAAAAGAGATGGTTTATAAATTTTAGTTTTAAATTTCCAAGATGCTTTGTTTGCAAATTATTTGCATATTCGAATGGTCATGATGTCGTGATAAATGGAATCACATAAATTATTGTGTTCTTATTCTTTATTTTTTTTTTTGTAACTTTTCATTTATTTCACTTCTCTTTTTTCTTATCTTTCATAAGCCAAAACTGCTTAGTTTGATACATCCAAAATTCATTCTTTCTATAATAATTCATCTATTAAGTATAAACTAATATTGATGCAATCTAGAAATGTATCAAAATTCAGAATCTCAAAAAATGAGATTCTGGAAATTTGGAAACAAATAGAAATTTCGAATCTTCTCTAATCATTCTTCTAGTCATTCTTTTTATCAAATACCAAACAATGTCATCTTAGTGATTTCATGTAAATTGATACGTTTCTGGATTACATCGAATAGTTCAAAGTTCAAAGAAAAATATGCAAGATAAAAAATTTCCAGGTGGTGATGTGCATAGCGATGCTTACAGTACCATTTATTGTGACCTCATTAACACCAAATGGCCTATCTGAGGAATGGTATTATGTATTCATTCTTCATGCCAGTTTCCTATTTATCACAAATATAGTATTTTGCAAATTTGGAAAAGGCATTGCGGCCGCATTTACATGTTCTAAAGAAATATCAATTGATAGTACCACTGGTGATAAACAGTTGAAACCAGTGTTTTTATAGGTTTTAGAATGGTACGATTTTTGTTTCAGACATATTTGTGTTTCAATTAAGTGATTACAACACACTGTTATCCGGACTATGTTTTTTTTGGGGGGTTAGAGGTCAAATAGCTGCAACACTTAACGCTTGTTAAGGGTCTAAAGTCTCCCCATAGGCAAAAATCGAACAATCAGGAAATTTTCTGGGAAGATCGAGAACCAGAAACCTTGGTCAGTGCAAAGATTTGAAGCCAGGTGACTGACGGAATTTCCAGCTCGTTTTTCTGTGAGGTAAATATCATAGCAAAAGGTTGGATTCATTAGGTCCCGGAGAGATTTGAACTCTCGTCGCAGGATTCAGAGTCCTGAGTGCTAACCACTACACCACGGGACCACCAATGCTTACGTTTCAAGCCTTCTATTTCAAAAGTTTTGTTTAAATTAACATAGTACATTTAATGTAATATGTGTTGTCACGCCATGATATCTGACCTTATTACGTGACTTCTGAACTTGGACACGTGAGTGAGGACTTTTATTGCGGGATTTTTGGGGAGTTTTTTATTGCGCGAATTCAAATCCTTCCTCAGTATTTGACGGTCTGATCAATATCATCAGTCATGTTTTGTCATTTATAGTTGTATTTAGAATTTAGTTAATTACTATGAACTGAATCCAAATCATTTCTTGTTTTGCTCGCAATTTTCAAAGAAGTAATTTAGCGAATTTAAAAAATTGTCCGGAAATTGGTTTTGCAACTTTGACTAGTCCAAACAACCATATTTTTCTTTTTAGCATGTTCGATTTTATTTCAATCGCTTTTCATTCTCAGCGGTGGCTTGTCTGATAACATTTATTAAGGGATAAAGACTTTTCAAACTAACCGGATCTTTCCGGAATTTCGTATTTTGCTACGACCTGAATTATATACAAAATTTTTTATTGGAAAAAAGAAGGAGTGCTCGCAAACAGTAAAATGATTGGTATATATGAATTAAACTAATGATATAAGAGGAGAGAGAGAGAGAGAGAGAGAGAGAGAGAGAGAG